TCTTTTTTTAGTAACCGTGATTGTCCACAAAATGAAGTTTGTAATAAAAACACTAACAACTTTTTTTCTGTGTGGATTTATGCAACTTTATTTGTACAGTATGAGAATGATTCTGTTGCTAAGTGGTGATATAGAAGGCAGTGCTGGTCCTACTTCAAACTGTGAAATAACGGGTCAAGATAAATTTGTGATTGCAGGTTATGCTCATTAAGGTTCACTTGAATATTTAGGTATCACCTCTGGAGTCAGTACATGTTTGACAAACAGTCTTATAACCTTGGTATATTCAATGATTATGGATACTGTTAATTTCAGTACTGTTAACAGTATGGCTATTGATAACATACTAGGGACATATTGTATTTAATACTTATCTTAAGTCATTCCAGTATGTATTTACAGGTTGCTTGCTGATTTAAATAACTGCATTTTATTCGGATCAAATCATTCTGGGTGGCTTTCTGAAGTTGACTTTGATCTTGTCACTGCGTTTCAGACATTGGACAATACATTGCAAAATGTTTTGAAAGTACTCGTACTTGATCAGTGCACTGTAAACCATTTTTTTCTTATTTGTCATACTCAGTATGTACACTGTTTTGATATTTCACCACGCAAATATATTTATTAAATATTGTCAAGACCAAGTTTGGTACATAAGGATAAATTGACCTGGAACGCTTATTTTGTTTCGAACTGACAATTGAACCTTCTTATTTTGTTTGGTGAGAGCGCATTTATCGAGCAGTTCCAGGGCATGGGCCGGGATACTGACTAATGCATAAGGTCGGGTTATACATATATTGTCCATAATTTGAAACGTGTCATCCCCTTTTTTCAGATAAAGTCCATTTAATTCAAAGCAGCTTAAATCAAGGAAACAGTAACGCTGTGGTAGTTCTAATTGAAAGTGTTTTATCTGTGTCTGAGACAGAACCTGGTTGGTTCCAGGCATTTATAAATATACTGAACGATGCAGGTTAGTATTATAGTTATGAAGTTGTTGATTTTTGTGCAAATTTCGTGCTGCACTGAACGAAAGTGCAGGAAACTCTACTGATGACGTTATGAATTAACAGAAAATCAGCACTACAATTATCTAATTACACAAATGAATTATGACAGGCTATGGAGATGTTGCGGAATGTCTCATAGGAAACCCTTGCCATCCTGTTGACGAAGGTATGAGAGACGACATGGTATATGCTGTTCGCCAGCATGCATTTCAGTTGTCCGATGTAGTCCCAAGCCAAATTATTCCAGACATGGGCGATCATCTTGATGACACAGTCTTAGAAGAAATTCAACAAGTTGAACGTCGACATGGCAATTCCATGGCCATGCAAATTCTGCTGAACCATCTCTGCAGAAGCCGAACCGAATGCTTATTCCGTTTTTTACATTGCCTGGAAGAAAATGGACATTCTTACGTAGCTTCACTGATACAGCAATGCTTGAAATCGCAGTCGAAGGAATTTGCGCAAGTGGATGATGCTGCGAACGAGGACGAATATAAGGCAAGAATACGAGTGACTGCACCATTACTTGAACGATTGATTATCAAACCATGGATTATTGTGAGGCATCTTTCGTTTCTTCAACGTAAGTATTGTTGCTTCGAATTGAAACTTACCTAAAAAAAATGAATAATATATTCAAACAGCATTAACAAATCTGTATACACACCCACTTACAGAATTAGTCAACGCTTAATGCGCTGTGGTCGCTCAGCTATGTCGTGTTCAATATAAGTTCGAAAGCATGTGGTACGACACCCTTGCGTGCTTACATTTTGTGCAAAAATGATTTGTACACACATAGCATATGTGACATGTCATGGTGCAATATTCACATCATCATGTTATATAATGCATCACCATTAAGTACAAAATTGTTGAAATAAGGCAATATAGTTAATTTGAAGATTTGTCAATCTAAAGTAAACCTTTTCTCATTGTTAAATTACTATTCATTTATTTTTGCCTTACAGCTGATTTCGCCGAAAAATTGCATGCCTTGGATAGAAGTGGGAATGATGAAGTATCTGTGAAGAGGTTTATAAGTGAATTGCTGAAAGCGGAAGATTCATATACTGGGTGGTTTAATCAATTAACATCAGCCTTACGAGAAGAAGGTACCATAATTTTGCTTAATATCGTTCTACAGAAAGGTATTAGTTTAGTCATAGCAATCTATATGTTATTGTATCTCTTATACAATGCATATATCCATAAACTGTACATGTGGTCACATTGGTGTCAACGTGAAATATATTTCTATCTGCTGCTGATCACTTAAAATACAAACAAAGAAATATACGTATGTAAAATTGTTTTATTTTGCTGAGGCATTTAGATCTTTTATACAAATGCTGTACGAACACTATTTTCTGTAATTCAGCTTTGTGTCAAAGTTGCATTCCTGCAAATATTACCCCCTCACACCCCCTGTAAACACCAAAATAGCTTTGAATTTTGTACAGTTTATGCGCAATTCTATCCAACAATTCGGAAATCGAATTTAGAAGACTATTTGAAATGATAATTAAACACCATAACCTTCAGGGAAATTCAGTATCCGTTGCCAAACCAGCTGATTGTGTCATTTTTATGGTGATCGTACTAATCAATGATGGGTGTTCTGTCTCTGATACTAAGTTGCATGCTAGTTAATGTACAACCAACATAACACAATAAGGTATGTATTAACTAGCGGTAAGTCATTTTCTTTTACACCAATTTGATCACGGGTTATGAATATATAGTTATAAAGGCGAAAATAACATATATTGCTATGTTTTAACCAGTACCTTTCATTTAAACGAGATATACACTCCATACTTCATAAGTCTACTACATCCAAACATAATGGTCAGTATCAAAAATCGGATCAATCAATATGAACCATTCGTTATTTAAAAAAATGGATCAGTTTTAAAAGACCTGTGTCGAAAATTCTTAAACCGCGCCACACTTTTTATTCACTGGGTGCGTCAAATTAATTACTTCATAGGTTATGAATATTTAGCTGATATGCTTGAGGGTAAACCGGTTCCAGATATGGACCAGTATGGTCAGCTATTAAGTATATTTGCAGTACGTCTAAACGACATCAATCCAGATGAAATCTTGACACACATGGGAACACATCTAACAGAGACTGACCGGGAAGAGATACATTCACACCAGAATAACTATGGAGCAAAATACGCCGCTGTCACTCTCATTGACAGGGTATGGCGACGGGGTTATCGTTGTTTTTGTAGATTTGTAAATGCTCTTCGTGATATTGGACGTGAGGATCTTGCCGTTGACATTGATCCTAAACTGTTTTGCTCACATCGAGGTAAGATCATAGTTTCATTAAACATTTTGTATTTCATTACTAGAAGTCATAATATTTAATGTTCTAGACGCTTTAAGATTGGCACGCATACACCCATCAACGCCCTTGGCGGACACCCACCCTCTCGGGTGGCAATTCGTTAAATAATTTGTAGTTGACGACTCGAAATGTGATACTTGTGTAAGTCACAGAACAGTTTTGTTGATCAGGGTGTGCCTGTAAATTAATTCGGCAACGAATTTGAAAGTAACTATTGTGGTTTGGAATGACGTGCGATTTTTAGAATGTTTGCATTAATGTGAATGCAGCGTTTTAAACTACCATTGTAAATGTGCTCAGCTCCAGTCAGTATGAATGTTCTCTACCTTCGCAATCTGAGTGCGTTTCTGGACGATAAAACGTCACACAGATAATAAATTGCACAACATTGTGTTAAAGACACGTGTGTAGTGATTTAGAAATAAAGTATAATATACGGCCTTGACATTCATTAAATATGTAACACTCTGATGTTAACGTTTACTTTTATATATAGACATTGACGATTCACACACCGAAGTGATGGATGAGAAGAAATCTTTGTCTGTGCAGAGCTTTTGTTCTTCAGATGAAAACAATGAAAGTCCTTGTGCTGAAAATAATACAGATACCTCCACTGCACATGCTTCCATCTATACTGGTAAGACTATTTAAAGAGTAATAACAACGAATCTTGAGCAAAAACTATTTTATTTAGGATGAAAGGAAATATTGGAGGTTCGTTTTTAAATCAAAAACTATAGGAAATTCATTAAGGAGAAATAGTATTGATTGATCCAATTCAACCAATTTTTATTGATTCACACAATTCAACTAGAGTGTTTAGCAACACTGGTCGAGTTCATTGGCGATGATATAGTTGCTAAATCTCACAATGAAGTAGTTGCTCTACATGCACAGTTGGTCTTATCTTGTCTTGGGTTATCTGAGAAGTACATCAATGTAAACATTTTTGTACTGAGATCAGCCGGCTAAGAAAGTTTTTTTTTATGATTAATGCTTAATAATCAAATGTACATAATTACATAATTAATGAAAAAGTTTATGTGAATTTTTATATTGCCCCTAGTAAAAATCACAAGTCATGTCAATTATCTCTATAGATGAGCTACCAATTCCATTGTACATCGGACCAATCAATGCGAATGTTGTTCAGCATTCACTATTAGAAGTAAGAGGCGCAGCATGCAGAGAATTGCCTACTCAAACGTTTAGGTATTGTCTATTAAATTATTATTACGTAGTTTATCACAAATTTAATATTTGCTACAGAACTGGTGCTTAATATTTGTATGAATTGGTACAAAAAAGCGTACATTCTTGACTTTAGAGATTACCTTGCGTTTAACATAATTGTCAGCATATGATTCTAAACGTATATTTAGTTTACGCCGTTCCGAGGAAATCTGTTTGTTCAACAACATCTGAACTGTTAATTATATTTAAGGTTGCAGAGTTTTGTTCAAAGAGACTATACCAGACCATACGCAAATGAAAATAATTTCAATGTAGACATTTCTCATATGTATGCATCAAATGAAGCCCACGTTTCTTCTGAAGTGAAACATCTCAATATTACTGATGACGGAAAGAATGGAATGGGCATTTTGAAAACGTGTTTGGTTTATGAGTACAGCAAAGTAATGAAAGCTACCAATGAATTTGATGTTATGAACATTATGCATAAAGGCCAGTTTGGTGCCATATTCCACGGTACAATGTTTGGCCAGATATTTGGAATGTTGAGAATAACAAGTGAAGAAGTCAACTCAGAGGTATGCCGTATAATGTAGGATCGTAATGATCTAAATGAATTCGTGATTAAATTTTAGTGAATGGACATTATCAATATCCGAACAAACTAGAACTACATCATCTCTGTTCATGTGGATCATTTGCCTTCATTTACATATGCCGCAACCTGCTTTTTGATATGACCTACGTGGTCATTCACGTCCCGATTTTGGCTAACTACCATTATCTCACACATTTATTTTCGATTGTCCAACATCTCAAATAGCCATGGCAGCTTATTTATTATATCTCCAGTACGACTTTTGAGCAATCGGTCGAATTATATGGTCATGCATTGAATTTATGGGGGTCGTTCATTTATTGTTTTTGCGTCACTCTGTCTTCGCTTATTTGCTTTTATGATCACCATTATTTGTGAGGATATTGTTTTAATGAAATGATCGATGCATCGATGATCGATAGGAATGCAATAAGCGCGCTGATTTGTATGACAGTTTGAGCGAATGGCGTAATGCTTATACTTAACAATATGCTAGCGTACAACAACTCTCCTCTCTTTGAAATTTTAGGGAGAGGTAGTTATATTGTACGAGAATGAAATATCCGCACTAATGATGTAAGTATTTAATGTATATTTTATTGAAGTTACTAATTTAGGGAGAGGAACTCCGGGGAGCTACTTTATCTTCCGCAGGAGCACCGTGCTACATATACAACATTATGCAAGAATATTCATGAGCTGAATGTTCAGTGCGGCGCCTCCTTTTCGCAAGCAGGGTAGACTGATTGAAAAACCGTTGTTTTATCCACAATAACGGTATTTGCAATAAAATAGGACAACTTAATGTTTTTACATTTATCCGAGCTGATAATGAAATTAAAGGTATTACAATTTCAACTCATAAATTTACTAGAGAAATACAAATTTCTCAGGTAGCTGATGATGATGATGATGATGATGATGATGATGATGATGATGATGATGATGATGAATTTCTTATAATTTTTGTTTTCAAATACAAACGTCTGGTAGTCATTCTTTCTATAAATTAACTAATTGAACCTGTTCGTATCTTGCAGAACAAATGACGTTTACCGGGTTATCTCAATAAAAGCTAATTAAATCAGGCAAATCGGCAGAGTTGTCCGGAAACCGCTGGTTTGATTTCGATCACCTCCCTTATTATGACAAGGCTATATTATGAAACTATAATATATAGTATTTAGCTGATTTGCGGATCCAAGAAGCCAATAACTGACAGGTCACACGTACATCGTTATGGTCTCCTGTACTTTATAAACCTGTTCATCGGAAGTTATTGTTCAAATATTAACTGTTATCTTGTCTATTAACGCTATTTTCTGGCGACAAAGAAGAAAGTTTGTGACATTCAAGTTGTTGAGGGGTGTAAGCGTACTCACTTAGTCACTGGCTTACCTAATTACTTAATCACTCTCATTATCGGACAATGAAAAGTGTTTATCTGAATGTTAGGAGAACATGACGCTTGTAACCATGACCATATATTGGTCTAAAAGTTTAAAATGTTCACTGTGTCATATTCTATTTTGTAGGTTTCGTCACCCCAGCATAATTATGCTACAAGGCAGTGCTTTTAGTGGTAACGATGCTGTGCTGATTTATGAATACTTATCTGTTGGAACCTTTGCAGACTGGCTTCATTCGTCTGTTCAGGTTGGAGATTTTAATTTTTATATAATTATTATCATCTTTCATTCTGATGAAGGCATTATTTTTTCCCTGGAACTCAAAGTGGGACAAAATTAACGTCACTAATATAACTGATGCACATTCCAGAACAATTTGTTATTTGTGAACAATTATTGGGATATCAACAATCAACAATACATTGTCGACGTGTTCATACATTCTAGCATCGTTTACTGCAATTTTTCCCCATAAGTAATGTGAGATAGTATGTGTGCCAATATCGTTTTTACTGAATAACGAACAATATTTGGAATCCTTTTGAGAGAAACAAGTTATGTTTACGTTTTCTTGTTCTCCTTCACTTTTTTCCCAACTAAATAGTATGTTACGCCCTAATATTGCATTTTGCTGCTTCTGTGGATGGTATCAATTTTGGAAGCCAATAGAACTGTTGTAAAGTCTTATTTACAATATGTCCGACTGTACTATATATAGTATTGTGTTGATTTAGTGTTGACAGTTGTTTATGGATAATTCAGAAACATTACCTACAATACGATTTAGGCAATTTGTGCAGTGAAATTGTTTAAACAAATATGCTTCACGATCACATGTTAAAATTATTCTAACTAGAATCCATGCGTGTTCAGTCTATAATTCATATATTGTCGCGAAGAATGCAATTTAAACACAGTATGCAGGACTTATATGCTAACCACTGCATCTACCAATCGATTCAACTGGCAACCTTCCGATATGCCAATCTCAAATTCCAATGCCTGACAACAATATTGTCAACAGTTGCTCCATAACCAGTTGAGAAAGCTGATTGGAACAGCGGTTAGCATCTCAATCATGTATATTGAACGTTATTTAACTTTAATCATTTATTGATACTTTGGTCGTTTGTATTTAAATATATTGTGGGTGATAATATTCACTTTTATTCTAGGTATGAATAAGTTTTAGAATTTCCTAATCACCATATGCACTATATGTGTGAAGGTTGATTTGTAAATGCTCACCTTAAACAATATGTCGTACGACCTATCATAGTATAAACAATAACACATGTTATATTCGACAGGATCCTTTGGTGAGATGTTATGAATCGTTGGCAGTATTGACTGGTGTTGCTAGTGCGCTATCGTATTTGCATAATGTTTTACAGTTTCCATTTATCCATGGGAGTGTGAACTCGTAAGTAAACTCTAGAATGAAACATATCATTATATTCACAGCGATACTGAATTCGTCCACATTGCATGTAACTTGAGTGAGCCAGATGATAAATTTATTGAACCAATCTGCAAATATTTACTGTGTTTTTGCCAATTTAAATTGTCACAAATGCTGACTAAATATAAATCTTGTCCAATCCACAAAAAATTGATTTTAACACTTGTAACAAACGTGTCATATAAAATGGTCAGTCCACGAAATATCATAAATTTTCCAGTCGGTGAAATATTTTAGTTGTTCAATAGTTGCCAATTAATCTGTGAATGTTTGATCTATTTTCATTTTTTTTAAAGAATATGTCTGTAATTTTGACCAATCACATGTCGTATTTTTTACGTATTTGAATCGCCCTAAGTCGAAATGATATCTGCTCATCTCAAGTAAAAATACATTCATGTCTAACCACTTCTTGTACGGCACTATATACAACAGACTTTGTTGGTAGTGTCAAATATTACGTTTCCGTAGATTACATGTGTACACCGATCCATGTTCTCATAATTCCACTGATTTACAAGCTATGGCAATTTACAAAAAGAAATTTCACCCCCAAGTAACAAAGTGCAGTACATTTTTAAGAATTTGAAGTTTCCATTCAAAATATAGTATCTTGTATCACATGCAAATATATGCATTATTCATTTTGGCGTTTCTTGTCACTACCAAAACAGCTACCATATCCTGCTTGGGGATAATCTTAAACCGAAATTGTTTGGATTTTGGTGCTCCCACTACTGCCTGGGCAGCCGATGCATAAACGTCGTTGATATGAATATGATAGAGAAATATCAATATAAAGCATTTATGCCTGGTGGGTTAGTGCCTTCGTTTATTCACAGTCCACGAATAGACATATATGGTCTTAGAGCAGTAAGTCATTACTATATAATTGTCTTCATTATGATGTTATCTGTGCTTGCACTTTATAATATTTTGAAGACTTCCTATCGATACATGGTTGGCAACTATAAAGAAATATACTCGCCGACATCAGGTGGATAAAAAGTGTACTTCCAGTAACACTGTACTCTATTTTCTCCCCTCTTCTGGGTCATGTACGATAATTTGCGATTTTACATGAAACCCGAATAATGTGTTTTTTTTCTATTGTGAGATCTAAAAGATATAACCATACTATGCTATGTATGGATACACTCGATTCAACAAAATAACACAAATATTTTGTCGCATTATTTTTTTTCATAAATTTGACTAATAGACCATGATTTACTTTTGCACACTATATTGTGTTTATAGTAATAATAATTATATGCACACATTCAGAATTTGTGTTGTTGTAGATAATGTATGATGTACTCTGTGGGAGGACAGACACGATATCCGAGGCCCCGGGATCTGAGGTAGGTTTGATTTTCATCATAAGAAAACAATCTCTCACATCTAGAGTATACGGTATACTAGCGATTAATACATAACCTAAGCAGGCGCTCACTTCACTGTGGCAAAGTAACTGTCCCTCAAAAGACGGCTCGAAGTAACTAGTAATGAACACGGACCTATAGTAAATAGACGACCATGCGAAGGCCGAATATGTGACGTCACAGACAATCACGCGCAAATATAACGTTCTGTGTTAGTGCATACTTTACGTAACAACGTGTCTGAAGTTTAACACCGTGGAAGGGTGAATAAGGCCAAAAAAACGTATGCTGTCCTCAAGACGGAAAATTGAATTATTAGGTCGGTCGGTCGGTTTTTTTTTTTGTTTTTTTTTTCAAATTCGTGAAAACTAAGGCTATCGAAAATAGCCGAGGTATATGGGAATCAATCAAACGCATGCTAGATATTAAACACAAAAATCAAAGTGTTTCTTTCAGTCTGTTGTATTTAAATACAGATCAACCCGAGGTTCATAGTCGCAATTTATCCCCCCCCCCGGCGACCCTAGGGATCAAACGACGGTCCGGGATCGTTAATTTTTAGAGGAAACACTTTTTTACTGCTTAAAATGGTGAGTTTTTAATATTTGAGCCTATTTAAAAAACCGCGATCCGATATTTCATATTTTTTGGTCGGTCGCTGAGGGCCACAAAACATTTTTTTTGGCCTAATGTATTGGGATTACATTTTGGAGATATGTCCGCCATCTTGGAATATCACGACATTCGCATTTCATATAAGGCACGGAAATTAAAATAAAAAATTTCAGTAAAATATTTCCCAAAAATACGATGTGTAAGAAATAACTCTTCGGAAAAGTATACAATTTAAGGTTCCATTGAAACAATTAACTCCGATACACGAATGAAATGACACTTCTTTATCTACACATTATTTGTTAATTTTCTCGTATTACTATGTAAAGAATATTATATAAGATATGCTGCTGTAATTCATATCTATTTACAGAATAGATGTAATATTGTGACATTTATTTTAATGCAAATAATGAACATGGCTGTTTTTGCCAGGAAACTATTTTTGAGGATTTTGTGTCGCAACCTTATGAAAACTTAAAAAGACAAATGAAGCTGAATACAAGTAAGTGGCCCGAAGATATAGTGAGAGGTTTGTATGGACTGATCTGGAAATGTTTGCAGCAGTGCATTGGTGATAAACAAGAAAATATACAAGAGGTAATTTATCTTGACAATTTATTATCTCAAATTCATAAAATTGTCTGTATTATCACATTGATTGACTTGAGTAAATATTCACTGAGAGTCATTAATATTCAGAATTATCATATGATTAGTGTGGCCATCTGATTGGCTGAAGAAATTTCTTACAACTGGCACAAGAAGCCAGAGTCTCAGTCCTGGTGCTGAATGGCATGTGTATGAGAACACTACATGACACTATATATGTACACATACTAGTTAATGTACAGCAACATTAACTTATAGCAGAGCGTGACAAAATGTGACCTCGTATGTCATGCTGTAAAACTTGACTTCTTAGTACTAGATTTCTATAAGTATCGTGTCCTGCAGCGCAGTGTATTAAGGAGTAATACTAAGTGTACTGGTGCTTTATTACTCGAAAAACGTGCGATAAATGTGTCCGTTCTACTTAACAGATTCACGAATGTCTGGAACGTCTAACAAGGAGAAGATCGGATACCTCTGAGATGGCGGGGATGTTCAACGTGGCAGCTCAAACTGCTTTCCATGTATTATAGAAAAATTCACCATGGACATCTTTTTATATAATCATTACATTTGATTGTCTACAAAACGAATATTTTCTGGTCTTCTGCGCATGTCTGATAGGTACCTCACTCAGTTATGACCAGCAAAATAATCGCCCAACGTATTAGTTTTATTGTTATATTGTAGTTGCTGTACAAGATAATTGTTTTATAAACCATGACCCGTATGTAATACTTAGTTAAGTAATTATTTGTAATAATTAGTTTTATCGAATTCTATCAATTATGAAAAACATATTATAACCAAATTTCATATAATATCTATATTTATGTAAGTATATTTTGCATTTTGTATTTAAAAAAGTGTCAGATACTACATATCTATGTGTGAATTAATCAGTTGAATGATTGGTTCCCGCGCGTGTACGAGTGTACGATCTATGACTGTGTCTGCGCATCTGTATTCCTGGAATTGTTTCCACCATGCGACAATATGGAAACTAAAATAAATCAGATATGATAAAACATTGTAAAAGACTTTTGAAAATATTTCAATTTGTTTATTCACTCTATAAAACAGTTGGTATTCTACAACATGTTACACCAAATAGCCTGGCAATTCAAAGTTTGTTTATGTCGTGCCCCTGTAAACAATTCCATGTAAACAATTATAATACTCAGTTATAAATGTGTTCTTTCAGACACGTATCTTTTTCTGACTTATTCTATATCTCTGCTTGTCATTCGCCCTCAAGCGTAAACCACAGTGATGCTATTGTTCGAACCGCCAATTACATGTCTTGTTTAATACATTTCATCACATTGATTTCTCATACCCCGCAGCCCAGTGAAATGTTCCATGTCAATTATAATTTCCCTTCAATTGTCACCGTGGTAAATCGTTTGTACAGCCAACATGACTGGCTGATACAGTGGGCGCCTACTCCAACTAAAATCGCCCATACGGGACCCGAAAGCCGATCAAGAACCTGAATGCAGAAAACGCGGTTGTATATTTTCTCGTCATTGAACCAACTTGCATTTTGTAATGAAAATAATTTGTAAACATGTCGGGCAAGCAACCGAAGTAAACATAAAGCCACCACTCGAAAAAACTGTAGGGAACTGGGACTAATTGTGAATGGAAATGTTTGAACTTGCATTCGAATTTTTAGATAGAAAATAAGTCGATGGTCTCCCGTCCCGGAGATTGTGCGTACACACGCACCCGGAAGTTGTTTTACCACGTGTTGTCGTCTGAAAAAATGATAACATTGTTTAATAAGTACCACATTGGTACTTAGTTCCTGTGGTATGGCGTGTTAATTATGTTATATATGAACGTGCGTTTTATCGAAGAAAGGAAGTTCTGACAGAAGGAAGTCCCCTGTCCAGTAACTGTCCCTTCGATTTCTGCGGGTACCACAAATTCCCACTCAAATATTATTTAGGATATGTCGATTGCTTTGAGCTCCCCAGGCCCCGCAATTTAATAAATTATCGCAACGGTTACAAATGTTTAGAAACGATGCAACGTTTTGCGCAATGTTTCCTTCCTTATCGGGACGTGGGTATTTGCCACTATTTTGGTACCGTGTCAATAATGAGCGGCCTAGGAGGTGGCAGTAAAGCCTATTGAATACTACTAATGAGCAAGCGGACAATAACTACTTCGACAATAAAGACCGCCACTAGTAACCAAAAAAACTTA